AATCTACAACCCACGCGATCTCCTAACTTTTCGCCCTTAAGTATCGATTATCATTGTTTAATGCCTAAGCTTGAACAAAGTACTTTCTTGGATTAAGCTCTCAGGGCTTGATTTCTTAATTGACTAATCCTCAACACACATGCTACATGTGGGAGACTATGTCTTCTTCCCCTATCAAAGTACTTAATGTTCATATTTTAAGGTTGTTTGCAATCGATTAACATATTGTTTAATGTGTTTAAGGACTAATTAAACTACTAAGCTAGACAGCTAAACACACCAATGAAAAATACAGAATCTTCATTTCCCAATTGCCAAATGGGAATCCCTCACAAAACCCCATTGAATCCACTAGTCTAGTGAAACTACCCTCATGGTCAACCAGTCCAAATATAGAGTAAATTGTAGTTATAATCCCTTAACTTTAACTCAATTGGAGTAATGATCTCTCAACTAAAAATTCATTACCATTGGTCCCTCAACTCATCAAAATGTGCAGTTATGGTCCCTCAACTAAAAATTCATTATCATTGGTCCCTCAACTTTAATTCAACTGGAGAAATGGTCCCTTAACTTTAACCCAATTGTAGCAATGGTCCTTCCAACATAACTCGTTTTGATAAAAATTTTGACGTAATTGACGAAAATGACCATAATTACACATTTTAATGAGTTGAAAGACACTAATTATGTAAATGGTTATTCCAATATAACTTATTTTGCCAAAATTTTAACGAAATTAATGAAAATGACTATAGCTATACATTTTGATAAGTTGAGAGACTAATGATAATAGATTTTTAGTTAGAGGACCATTGCTCCAATTTGATTAAAGTTGAGAGACCATTACTACAATTTACTTCCAAATATATGTTGTCAACGACTTGTCTAAAACACATAGAGCTGTCGTACAAAGGGATCACTTTTCTATCAGCATGGCATTTGGCAAAATGTCATTCATGTATAGTCATAAATAGAGGTATGACTGTGACACCCCATATTGTGTGTGGCCGGTGTTGAGTCTCACACTGAAAAGTACTATGTCAACCTGAGTTGTATGGGTGATTGCTTGGGACTATCTTTCTATCCGATACTCTTACATTCTCTTATTTTGTCTTTCTCTTGCTATAAAAAATTAATATAAGGTGTTTGCGTGGCTTAATCGTGATCGTTCAATTAGGAGGGGAGAGAATCATACTCCAATTGCTTGTATGTAGCCTCACTAGTTACTAGTCCTATTGAGATCAATGTAGTGCCGAAACTAGGTCGTGACAAATGGTACACCAAAGCCAACCTGAGCACATATTTTCGTCGGTGTTGAGTCTCACATCAAAAAAGTATTGAATCAATCTAGGCTATATATATAAGCAATTGCATGTAGTCTCACTAGTGACTGATATTGAGATCAATGCACTGCTAATATGCCAACTGATTCGTGATATATGATATCAGAGCCAATCTGAACGTTTGCGAGTGTTGAGTCTCACATCTAATTAGTACTGGGTCAACGTGAGTTGTATAAGTGATTGCATGTAGTCTCATTAGTGGCTAGTTACTATTAGGATCGATACTATGAATAGTTACTATTAGGATCGATACATTGACGAAATGACGAATAGATTGTGACAGATAATATCGGAGCCAACCCGGACAGGCATAATTCACTATGGTGAGAAACTGAGTAGAACCGTAAACGTTGGCTAATGCATGTCACGATGGCAGCACCCTGGGATAGTACAAGAAGTATGAGAAAGAGCAAATACTAAACTTATGAAAGAGTTACGGGCAAAAGGCCATGAAAGAAGAGACAGACTACCCTACAACTCGATCGAATTCTTTTCTTTTTACTGCTGGAAAACTGTTCTTTTCTTTGACTCACACAAAAATATTTCATCAAACTAGTGGGATCAAAGAGGACACCATATAATTGGATTCGGTTAATGATATTATGAATGTGGATATATGACTTGTACCTGTCCTTTGGCAAAACGCCACGTATAACATCCGTCTGCAACTTCATATTATTAGAGGTAAACTTAGTCAAATTGTACATGAAATCGATGGACACTCTCCCCTCCTCTTCCTTTCTGGGTACTTCACGGCCGACTGATGTAAAATGTAATTGCTCGCTCTCATGTCCAACCATCATTTGTCATCAAATTTTGGTTAGGGATAGTGGTTTTCTGTTAAATTATCAAAGAGACAGGCTAAAAACTTACTTCTAACAACACTGATATTGTCTCAAACTTATTAATTACTACCTGCACAGTCCGACATGTGTGAGATTTTATCATAAAAGGTTTTGGTATTAGTTGAAGTGGGATTAGGATATTTAAACTCTTCTTCTTCCCCTCATCCTGCTAATGTGTGTGAACATTTCACGCTCTTGTTTTCTCATTCTCTTAATTTGTTTGGCAAATACCGCATAAACTAATGATAATGAATTTTACTTTAGAAGTTACAATTGTTTCTTTAATTTAGAAAAAGAAAAAAAATGATCAGTTTCTCACTCTGATTATGAATGTAAGATAAATACTTCACCGTTGAAGTTATTGGTCATGTATGAAAGATTATCTCTCGATATTATTATCGCAACTTTGATTCCGATTCGATAATGATTTTAAACTCTATGTTCACAACTAACACACAATAAATCCGATGCTAAAGTGATAAAGAAAAGGAAAAACTCAGGACCTCCGGTGCTAGGGTTTTGAAAAACTCGTCCATGCTTGAAAATCAAACGAGTAAACATCATAGATAGACAAACGAGGCAGTCAAAGGGATGATCTTTGATTTGATTTGTACTTTGGGCAAAGTATATATCTTCTTCTCTTAGTTGAGAATATGATTTTCTTTCTGTTTCTGTTTCTTTTGCTTTTCTAGCTTTGAAAAACCTTCTTAAGGCACCCCCTCCATCCTCTCTTTTGCCTAGCTACACAGCTTCATAACCAAAAATTTGTGTCAAAATTTTGGCTTTTTTTTGTGTTTTTGTGGGTATCTTTTGTTGTCATTTTCTTTCCATCTGCCAAAAGAAAGAGAGATGTATTTCCAAAGCACACCTCTGGGTTTGGGCTTCAAGTACTTCTTGTGGTGATGTGGCTTCTGATGTAGACTCTCTGTCCTTCGATTCTCTGACATGTAATTGTACATTAATTATACATTACATGACCACATAAACTTTATATCAAAAGTAAAACTAGCTAGTTCTTAAGCTAAAAAATTGTCCTCGTATATACAAAGTATAAAGGCTTGAAGCTCAATCCACAAGCTTTCACATATAGGTTTTCGTTGGCCCAAACACTTTCGTGGGAATTATCGGAGATATTCTTAAGTAGAAGCTTCCATACTACATTCTTCGTCTGTTCAATCCTACACAAAAGTGGCGCATCGCATTGGGGTCGAAATTGGAAATGTGTGGGACTCAAATGCATGAGGTGCTCATATATATTTCTTAGACGAACGAGTGACGTAGTACAAAAACCTTACTCAAGAATCTATCCGATAATTCGGGAAATATTAAGATCAATTAATTACTCAACTATCGAGCTGATTGTGATCTTTCTTACTTGCATACCTTATAAATAATGAAGGGTCGAAATCAGTCCCTGTGCACATGCTCAACTTAACCCTAGCACTCATTTACAACCAAATGAACCAGGTAGAATCATTTGCTTATCAGATTAGAAAGTTTGCTAACAAAGAGGCCCCTATTATTCACAAGAGTGGCTCATGGTTCTAGTAGTACAATGACAAATATTTTCACTCAAAAAGGAAGAACACATCACAAATAAAATACTAATTGACTTGTTGATATTGATGTGAAGTTTTTCACTTTTGGGTGGAAAAAGGGTAGTGTTATTCACACACTTATTTTTACCTTCCACACACCTTTGTTAAATTTTATCCATTGTTCTTCTTCAATTCATTCGATCATACGGCAAAAATTAACAGAAATGTATGAAAAGTGAAAACAAGTGTGTGGATAGCACTACCAGTTGAAAAAAAAAAAAAAAAAAACCACATGCATTGCATTAAGTTTTCATCCACTTTAGTGTCCTGGCTAAGATCTTGTCACTATCTTTGCTTCCCCTTTCATTTTCCTAGCTTTTATCACCATCCAATGATGCAATCCATGGTGTTTTTTGCTGCCCATCAAATCTTTGTGGTCTGTCCATTTCATCATTTATTTATTTTTGTCTTCCTTCCAACCTTAGCAATGCTGGCTTAATCTGCAGATCTGGTTCTAGACTTCCAGTTAGAAATGTAAATTGACTTTTACGTACCATTTGTTTTACCAATGCAAGCCTTAAGTCATAAAAGCTAGATACAGAAACCTGCAGAAATTTAACATGTGAAGCAATCCAATGTACCATATGATAAATCCGGCATCAAAGAAGTTAGGGAATGATGTAATTCGTATTTTCATGACCACATCTGTACGAGGATAATAATTTACAAGCATTAGAGTGCATATGTCACATGTGCATATATATGTCATATGTCACGTGCTACGACAAAATATGTATAGTATTAGTTCATATTTAATACAAATGCATTTTAGCGTAAATACAAACATGATTGTAGATGCTAGATCGACAAGTCCATTCTTCTCTAGTCAAATATAGATTAATCTTAAATCATCAAATTGACAAATTCAGCTGTTAGATCGACATGTTCATTCTTCTCTAATAAAATATAGATTAATCTTAACCTATCAATTGGCAAATTCAGCTCCTCCATAGGTGTGTTCCATAGGCTATCCAATCACTGCTCCATTCTGTATCAACCTTTAATGATTAAGCAGGAATATGTAGCTGAACAAGTAACAGTAATACATTTTTCAAATATTAGGTACAAATGCTACAAGATTGCTGGTTCGCTCTATGTTTACAAGTAAAAGGTAATTCCAGTAAAAAGTGATTTGTTACACAAAGTAATAAGAAAAATAGTTGTTGTTGAAGTTGTATATATCTGATTCGTCACCCTCCCTTGGCGCCTCCATGACATCAAGTTGTCCCTCCGCATGTGGCACTGGCGTGGGCGGGGTTGGTGGCTCAGGTGGTGAGGGGAGTGGACTAATTGCATCGGGCGGCAGCGGTATGATGTCTTCCGGTGGTGGTGGCGTGATAGGTTCAAGTGGTGGTGGTATGACTGGTTTTGGTGGTGGTGGCAACAATGGCATGATTGGCACAATTGGTGGCGAAGGCAATGGTTTGATTGGTTTCGCTGGTGGCACCGGCGGAGGTACGATTGGTACAGGTGTTGGTACTGGTGGTGGTGGAGAGGGAAGTGGTACGGTAGGTCCCGGCTGCAACGGTGGTGGCATGATTGGTAGTGGTGGAGGGTTAATTGGAGAGGGAGGCGGGAGTATCTTAGGGTCCGCTGTGGCTGGTGTAACTGGCTCGGTTGGCATCGCATGCTTCGTCCCTGAACTCTTCAAACAAAGCACATTAGGCACCGTCGTTCCGATTGAAATTCCTTCGGCATTGTTGCAAGACGCAAAAATCATCTTATCCCCCACCGAATACTTTATATCAATCTGATCCATCACAATATTAAAACAGCCACCCGAAATCTTATCGCAGTCGAACTTAATCACCTTCTGTGGCTGGTGTCCCTTCGAAATTGATGTACGTCGCATCCCCCCACGCCGACGACTGACTTTTGCAGTTCTGGTCCTCATTACAATAATATTGATCAATAACAATAGGGTTTTGAGCTCCATCAAGTTTGATCCTCTCAAACGTTATGTTTCTCGCGTACCCGGAGCCACCCTGCCACGTCTTGATCCTTGCTCCGTTTATAGTTCAGGTGAAACTACAATCTTTCACGTAGATATTATCCACTTTCTCAGTAGCTCCATCTGCTCCTAAACTTCCAACACTGTTTGCGAGAGACAATTGAGGTTAATATCATGGACAACATCACAATAATTCATTTGTCGAATAATAAAACATACATGATGCATTAACATGACAAGAGACTATTTTAAGTCATTCGAATGTGTCCTACCTAATTCCATGACCTGGTCCGCATGCAAATGTTGGTAATATAGAGAAAGGAGCACCCGCCGTTGATTGCAATACAATCGTCGCTTGTTCTGATAAATGAATCTCGAATGCTGATATGGCTTAAGAAGGAGATGTCAATACTGTCAGTGTTGGGACTGTTTTCTGGCGCATGAACGTTCAAATGCAAGACATCCGCATTGTCACAACCGTTTATACCGATATGTGCTTGTGGGCTATTCAAAAAAGGGAGTCCGCTGAGGTTCAAACAGTTGTTGAACTCAAGTGCCTTTTGTGGTTTGCAGTTGTCGTTGTCCCCTAAGAGCTTGCGCGATCTTGCGTCGTATTAGGCTGTGCTCCACCTGCAGAACCCTGACCATCGATCTTACCGAAGCCGTCGACCATGAGATTTTCAATATTAGAAAAACTTAGCCAGCTACCCGACTCACATTCTTTCCATGCACCACGGTTAGGTGCCAACACGTTACCTAAAACTTCAATATGTAGAGTAGACTTTTTGGCTCGCATGGACCTTCAAATTTAATAGGTTGCAACATGAACGTTTTGCCCTCTGGAACAAGAAGAGTCAGTACACCGTCATTCTCACCGTTACATATGTCACCCCATGACTTCAGAAAAGCCGGGGAATCATCGGTTCGTCCGTCTCCAACAGCACCGTATTTGGTTATGTCAAATATTTTTTGGCTACGTGCGATGCCAATAAACAGGGACCTAGTGAGGAAGAAGAAAACTAAAATGCGAACGGGTATGTTGAACCGCATTGCTTTCAAAACAACAGAGAAGATGTCTCAGATGCTAGAAGAACACAAGGATTGTAAACACTAAACAAGAATGTAGTGTTACTATATTTACGTGGAATGTTAGTTTTGTTCCAAAATACTATTAGTTTTGGTTAATTTCCATTGAAACTTGGTACGAAGGAAATCCTCTTACCGTTAGGAATAGTTTCCCGCTGTATCCCAAACCCACCTATCAACTACAACCACGACAAGGCACCGGAGAGAGACGGTAATTAATTTGGAAGCATGAATAAGAAACTAATATAAAGGAAAGCACTAATTAATTCTACCTAAAACCCCACAATCATGGAGGGAGGACACATCCAGTCATCAGGTTGCTCGAAATTCATAGGCATATTTTGATGTTACAATTGGAATTGGCTTTAGTTTACTTCTTGTAACTTGGAGTCGGATGTTCCATCAAGGAAATCGAAGTGTTAGGTTTCCTGTTCCTAACAATTTGTCGGACCAAAGGTTTATTCATGGCCAATCCTCAAAATAACTATTACGAAAAGTGATTCTAACTTTGGTCTAATGTGAGAGAACGCAGCTCAAGCTAGCTTGACTAAAGTGAGGACTTTACTCTATGTGTTTAATTGTTTTCTATGGTTGGTCAAAGTTTTAACTAGTTTTAAAGACCTGTAGGTGTAGCAGGCAATTACCAAATAAGTATAGTATGAATTTATGCTTAATAAAAACGCAATTATAGCAAATTTTAGATTGACGAATTTATTATTGCTCAGCAAAGTGTACACTGTCATGTTACATCCCATACTAATGACATAATGAGATTTAGACAAAACAATTTAAACGTGTTTTTTTTTATTGACACAGAACGTCAGTGTACCCATGCCATGTAAACTCTTTCTGACTATCATGTCACTTTCTGAGCTTTTATCACCATTCTAATCCATATAATTGTTACTTGCTGCCCATCAAATCTTTGAGGTATTTTTGTCTATTTCATCATTTATTCATTTTTCGTCTTCCTTCTAACATTAGTAATGGTTTGCCTTCGTCTAAAGAACTAGTTTTAGTTGGAAAAGTAAATTGAATATTTATTTACCTACCAATTATTTTACCAGATGCAAGTTACTCAAGTTAAAAGCATGTGTTACACAAGTTAATCAAAAAACAGCTATTGCAACAAGAACCGTCATCAGTGGACAAAACAGGTAGTAGTTTATATGTAGATTAGCACTGCCAGAACCTCCACTTCCGGTGTAGATGGTTGTTGGCCTTGTAGGCTCCGTCGCTGAACTCTGTAGACAAGGCACGTTGGGCACCGTAGTGCCGACATAAGTCCCTTTGGCGTTTTTACAAGTCGCAAAAATCTTCATATCCCTCACCGCTGGCATTATATTAATCCTATCCATCACAATATTGTGACAGCCACCTGAAACTTGATCGCAATCGAGTTTAATCGCCTCCTCCGTCGCAGAAGTGCCTTCAAAATCGATGTACATCACATCCGCCACCACCACGGCCGACGACTGACTTTTGCAATCGTGTTCCCCATTACAATAGTACTGATCAATAATGATAGGATATTGAGCTCTGTCAAGTTTGATCCTCTCGAACGTGATGTTTCTCGCATACCCGGAGCCGCCCTGCCACGTCTTTATTCTCGCTCCATTTGTAGTTCCAGTGAAACTACAATCTTTCACATATATATTGTCCACTTTACCACTAGCGCCATCTTCTCCCAAGCTTCCAACACTGTTTGCAAAAGAAAATTAATCTATGTTGACATGTACGACATCACGATTGGCATTCGGCGATATTTATTTAACAATTAATGGAAGATAGGAGAACAGACATACCTAATTCCATGACCTGGTCCGCAAGCAATGTTGGTGATGGAGAGAAAGGAACACCGGTCGCCAATGGAAATACAATCGTCGCCTGTCCCGATAGACGAATCACGAATGGTGACATGGCTCGAGAAGGAGATGTCAATACCGTCAGTGTTTGGACTGTCTTCAGGCGCATGTATGTTCAAATGCGATACATCTGCGTTGTCACAACTATTTATACCAATATGCGCTTGTGGGCTGTTTAGAAAAGTGAGTCCGCTGAGCTTGAGGTTTTAGCAGTTCTGGAATTGCAGTGCCTTCTGTGGTTTGCAGTCGTTATCCCCCAAGAGCTTGCGCGATCTCCCGTCGTATTGGCTAGTGCTCCACCATGCAGCCCCCTGGCCGTCGATTTTGCCTGAGCCGTCGAGCATTAGGTTTTCGACGTTTGAAAAACTTAGCCAGTCCTCCGAATCGCATTCTTTCCATGCACCACGTGCAGGTGCCAACAAATTTCCTAGAACTTGAAGGTGAACGTTCTTTGTATTGCATGGACCTTCAAATTTTAAACGTTGCAACAAGAATGTTTTCCCCTCCGGCACATTAAGTGTTGGTATGCCATTAATAGCTTCATTAATTCCTTGACATAAATATTTCCATGCATTCACAAAAGCTGGGGAATCATCCGTTTGCCCGTCTCCCACAGCACCGTACTTGGTTATGTCCAGTATTTTTTGGCTATGTGCAATGCTAATAAACAACGGCAAAGGGAGGAAGAAGAAAATTAAAATGTGAATGAGTGTGTTGATGATTGACATTGTTTGCGAAACAACGAATAATTCCCAAAGATTTGAAACTATATATAGCTTTCTCAAAGCTAGAACAATGTTGATCGTTGGAGTAAACAATACAGTGGTTCTACATGTGTATAAATACTAGTAAACTTACTTTTTTTTAGTAACATGTTCCTTAAATTACAATAGTTTTGGTTACTTTCCCATTTAAAAATTGGTAGCAGAAGTTGTAGGAATGAAATACCCTTTGAATTGTTAGAACAGGAAACCTAACAATTTGGGGATCACACTAAGAGATTGCCAGATTTAACTGGAATACACCTCGTATGCGACGAAACGTGTATGTCATCTCCAACCCCAAGGGATATTATATTACTAGTTCTGGCTTGAAAGCTCCTCAAAAGAACGGGATTCAAGCTTCCGGAGAAGTGCACTGATCTAGCCAACTTGTCTAATTTGAAACAGATGTTGCATGAAGGAAACCAAAATTGTTTAGGTTTAATGATATCAAAGTGCAAGATCAATTGAAACCAATTCAAAAAAATATACAAACAAAAATCCAAAAGCAATTCCACCAAATTAAATTCTATTTATTTGAATGAGGGATGATGTTGTAAACTTTTCGCGCCAACCTGATGCAGTCCAACCAGTGCAACATCTCCACGTTGGGGTCTCTCTCGATCACGACGTCCGACACCGTGATCTGCGTAACGCCCCTGTAGCTGGTGATCTTCCCGCGCACTCTGGCCACCACGCCGAGCTTAATCTCCGCGGCGAAGCGCAGTGCGTGTTGGGCAATAAGTCGAACATCTGGCGGGCTGCGGCGGGAGAAGTAGGGGGAGGAGAGCTGGTTGAGCCAGAGAATGCAGCTGACGCAGCCGGTGCCGTCGTCGATGGTGAACCTGAGGAACTTGTTGGGTTTGAGGTCGCGAGACGTGACGGTGCCGACGGTCTCAGCGCGGGAGAGGAGAGCGCCGTTGCGGGAGAAGGAGATTGGGTCCGAGGAGGAGGAGGAGGTTTGGGTGAGAGAGTTGAGGTCGAAGGCCAAGAGTTTTACGTGGGTGTTGTATAGTGAATGCTCCATCGGTAAAGAGATGAGAAATTTGAGAAAAAAAGTGTGAATTCGGTCCTCCCAATGTAGTTCAGGGGAGAGGGAGAGAGAGAGAGAGGGCGGAGGCTGGCGGCGGGAGGGGAGGAGGAGGCTGAGCTTTATGGGTTAAGTTTGTTCGCCGCCATTGATTCTGAAAAAGCTCTCTGCAATTCCGCAAATTTGGGAATCCTGCACTTTCCCACTCTTGCAACGACGAAACGAAGCCCGAGACGTGCCGTCGGGGTTTATTAAACTTAACTGCATGTTTGCCCATAAATCGTAGGGATTTTTCATTTTGGTCCTTCAACCTTTTTTCATCCCAAGTTGATATTTTTGACAAACAATAGAATTAGTGGGGCTAAACTGTTAATGGTTAGGGAGGACGATCGATGGGGATTGAAGACATACCAAATTGATAATTTAACAATTGAAAATCTGTCTACTAAGGAAAGAAAGTGGCTACTTGGAAGTTCATAGAACTACATGATCACATTTTGAAGCGATTTCGATAATTCATCTACTTTTTCAAGTGTCATTCACTTACTCTTATGTGACAATTTTTATCCAAGGCTAGACATTTATACTGAAAATCGCACAAAACCAACAAAATCGAATATGTGAGTTTGAGTTTGGAGTTGTTTTCCTAATCATCACTAAAACTGATTGAAATTAAAAATGATTTTTTCACTTTACGAATCAACCAATTGAATTGCGCCTACCACTAATCATGTCAACATTTATAGTTTTTTTATTTGATTTTTTTATTAGTTTTTATTATTATTAATCAATATGAATTCATATAACTGAATAGGTAAGGTTTACTCATCTATCACATGAACACACTACATAAAATTCAATGAAAAGACTGCAGAATGACTAAATTAATTTGCAAGTTCTATTTTTAGCAACCAAATTAATGAATTTTCTATTTCAGAGATTATTATAATTGGAAGTTTCAACTTCAGGGACCAACCGTGATTAAAAAAAAAACAGCCCCTTTTGAAATCGTTTACCAAAATTGGAACAGGCAAATGAGGACCAAATGGAAACAAGCATCAAAGTTTAGGGGTCAAAAGCATACATTGAAAACGATTAATAGGCTTGAGAAGGCACATAACCCGACTTGGAACGAGAACGACCCGAACGATTATCCCATTCCCTGCTTCTCTACGGAATCCTAAACCTAAACCCCTCTTTTGAAAATTGGGGCTAAATCAATTTCCAATCTTCCATCGTCCTACAAACCCTAATTCGGAGGAACCAGACCCAAATTCTTGCCCAGCATGAAGAGAGCAATTCCATGGAGTGATGAGGAAGGAGATTCGGATTCCTCATCTGGGCAGTCATCAGATTCACCACCCTCCAAGAAAACAGCTTCACAAGGTACATATACATACACATATACATATATATATACACGTATATTTGTATATTTACTGGTTTGGGTTTTGTGTGTTGTGATTTGTGTATTGAATTTGTTTTAGCTGGCTGCATACTCTGTTATTTTCTGCAGGGAAATCTGGGAAGCCAAAGAGCAAAGTTGTGGACTTTGAGGCACTGAAGCAACATGGCTACAAAGGTGGGCCATCGGTGCTGGCTGTGCCGCCACCGAGAGAGCCGGAGCAGGAGCCGAACTGGTCTTGGGCTACCGGCAGGGAGGACGGTAAGGACAGCAAGCCCGGAACCAAGAAAACCGAGGAAGAAGAAGAATCTTATGAAGAGCGACAGAAGACGAGGGCTGCATTGGCCTCGGGAGAGAAGCTTGAAACTGCGCTGACCCGGAGCGATAAGCGAAACCTGTCCTTCTCGCAGAAGGAGAAGAGGAAGAGAGAGCTTGGGCAGGCAAGCAGGGGGAAGAACTATGTTGAAGAAGAGAAGAGGTTGCTGAGGGAGAGTGGTGTTTACTCTGGTTTTGATGCTTAGGAACTCTATACTGTAATTTGTAATTTGTCATTGATTTTCCCTTGGATTCGAAATGACGCTTTCGACGAAAACTTTCTGGGTTTGTTCAAAACAATCTCTTTCACTTATCTTAAATACAAAACTGATCGTATTTTTGCAAATCCGAATGAAAGAGTCTGCAATAAAATTAGCTTATAATGTACACAGGAGTCGAGTGTTCGATAGGTAGACTGCTCTGGTTAAGCTCACACAGTTACATCTAAACAACTGAAAACTCTTTGGTGATGGGTAAAATCCATGCATGTAAACATCCACCTCTAGAAAGCCAAAAGAATGACGCAAGCATCACGCGATATGACCAAATTGCTCGATAGATGGTTTTACATACGGGAAGCCTTCTCGTAGTCTTGCTCGACAGATGCTCAACCGTCCTCTCTTTGTGAAGCCAATACGGTTACTGCTCAGGTGGAGATGTTGACCTATTGGGAAGAGTCGTGTATATTGCTCTGATAGTATTTGGTGTTGTTCTGCAACAGCCTCCAACAAGGGAAGCCCCTGCTTCACACCATTTGTTTACATACGAGACAAAATCTTCATCTGAAACCCCAGTGTTTTGCTGCAACACGGAAAAAAAAAAAAAAAAAAAAAAAGAGATCAGAAGAGTTGGTGTCTGGACAAGAATATCACAACCGCAGATTTCCCGCACTAATTCCACCTTCTAGATAACAACAATATTTTCACAGATAATTCTATCGAAAACACGAGACAACCATAGAAACTTCACTTACCACCCACATCTTTCTATCTGGATCATAGCTTTCACCACTATTTGGGTACACAATAATTGGTTTTGTAGCCACCTGAAGGATTTAAACATGAAAATAAGCACAGGAACTCCAAACAGAGTAATGTACAATTGTAATTATTCCGGGAAGCCTACAAATTGGAAATACGTCAGAAATATAGCATATGAAAATGCAGCAGGATATGTGTAGTTTGTTGATTTTTCATTGAACATTAAGAATTAGAAAATCTCAGAAATTGAAACAGTAAATACAGTTTAAAATCACCGGAGGCAATTTTATTGCTGCTCCAACAGTTGGTCATATAGCTCAGTTGAAGCTTTTATTGTTTGATCAAGATAAAGAACGTAAACTAAATTTATTCAAACACAATACAAATAGCCTAAATGATTATACCTGTGTAATTAATGTTAACAGTCCATGGATAAATCTAGGGGGAGTGCAGTTGATTCCAACTGCAACAACTTTCTTGCATGATTCAGCAACTGTGGCGCATTCAAGGAGAGAATCACCACTAACAACATTGATGCCGTCTTTAGAGTTGAAAGAAAACCATGCAGGAAGTTGCATGTTTTCTTCTTCCAAAAGCTCAGCATAAGCCTGCATAAACACCGAGCATGATTAACTGGGGAAAAGAATAAACACCTAGTTAAAAGTGCAAAACAAAATTATGTCAAGATATTTTTTCCTTGAAAACAAATTAGCATACATCTCTTGAGTAATAGCTCCATATTTACTAAATTTCATATCCTTCACTTTCGGTCACATTAAGTGCTTACCAATTAAAACATTAGCCACCTAATGAAATGCTATCAGTAAGCGAGTCTAGTAAGAAGCTTAGAATAAAGAAATGTTGGCCTGTCAGATTTCCTCAACCAACAAGGACAAGAAGAAATTAAATGCTATCAACAAGCTTGCGATCATTACCTGAGCTTCCAGCTTATTTGGAACTGTTTCAAATGCAAGTAGGTCAGGACCAGATTCTGCTAGGATTTGGACCCTTCTCCGATGAAAATCTTTTAATCTTCCTAGCGTCATAGCCTCACCATAATTTCCACTGCCAAGGGACAGACCCAAAATATGAATATTAAAAAGACATTTCAAGTTCAGAAAACAATAGCCTTTTCATGCAAATAACAGCAGCCAAGACTATCTAACTTCATCTTTCAAAGCTTTCTCTGGGATCAAAGGAACACATTTTCCTAAGCAAAAATCCTACTCATATTATGTCAACAATACATTTATAGGACCTGCGACTGTTTACATGCGAGGTACTAGAACCAAAGCCAACAGGAATAATAGCTGATGCAATGAATTTTTATAGCAGAACTGACTCACCTGTACTCAGACCCATCAGCCAAATAAGCACCATAGCTCCCCACAGATGCCGCAACTAAGATTGGTCGACGCTTGAGAATTCTACCATTTCCACTGTCAGCAGAAGAGCATTGAGTACATCTGTCGTAATAGATATCTCGTGCCTCTCGGGCAATTTCAACACTTTTCCTAAGCAAAGATTCACTCTCTTCTGTAGAAAAGCCTTTGGCCTTGAAACCTTGAATGGTGGCCTGCATAACAACTAACACTTTCAGTTTCAAGAAAAAATATAAATGAGAGAGACATCATCAGTTACCGGGATTACCTGATACGATGCTGTGATTATGATATCTGCACCAGCTTCAAGGTAATCAAGGTGTACCTGCTCCAATACGCAACAAAACAACACGGTACATGGTCCTATTAGTTAATCAAGTCTACACATGAATTACATTTACATAAACCAATCTCCATTCTTTTGATTTCGTCTTCACAAAAGCTGAATCCTTTACACAAGAAAGAAAGCAAATGTTCAATCCTGCCTGACTTATCGATAGAGAAATATACAAATTAAAGTTGTGATTAGCTCATAGAAGTCACATTCCTCACTAAATACATGATCAAAGCATAGCAACAAGTTTCCTTCTGATCCAAACAAAATCAGCAAAATCTGACAACTTTCGGTCCAAATTCATAGATAAGACTAAATTCCCAACAAAAATCGAATGGTAATTCCAAAAGAAACAAAGCTCAAAATTGTCAAAAATCAAAATTTCCACAGCAAAATTAGCACTTGAGAAACTTAGCAAAAACCCATTATTCTGCACATATCTACACTCATCAGAGTACAAACACAAAACAAAGCAAATTACATTCCCAATACAGCATTTCTAGAGAGAGAGAGATGAGGATACCTTGCGAATGAGGTGAGGGGAAGTGAGGAGGCATTTGGCGCTCCAGAGAGGATCGTTGAGGTCAGCGCCGTGGCGTTCGAGCTCGGTGGAAAGTCCACCGTCGACCACCGCGACTCCGCCTGCCTGCCTGAGTAAGTCCCTCATTAACGACGACGTTTCGGCGCTGCTGCCGCTGGCCATCCCGTCGTCGACGCAACCACCACTATCTGAATGTGTGGAGCCGGTTTTTGTAATTGTATTTGTTAGGAAACCGGAAAAACCAACTAAACCCACCGACACCTGGCTCCCCCTGTTTTTGCTCTTTATAGCATTTTAGCTGCTCAAGAAATAAGAATTACCTATTTGAAATTAGCATTTCGACCCCTTAAGTTTTGTATAATACCAAAATGTCCGCGGGTGACGTTTGGTTCGCGAATTAGGTTTCTTGGGAATGAAACTCTCGTGTCTAGTCTCAGGAGGAATTGAATATTTTCATTCTCGTGTTTGAAAACGCTTAAAAATGGGACCAGAAAATTTATGTTTACGCGGTAACAGATGTACAGAGTTTCGTAACGTTCTATTATATCAATATAATATTATGTGTAGTATTTATTGTTGGTTAATTTTCATGTCAATTTGTATGCGTGCTTTATGTGGATATAGAGAAATTTTTCCGTGTGTCAGGCAAACAACTCAGCACATCAAGTGTCATTATATAATTTGTTGAATTTTTTTTTCAAGTTTTCAATCAATTGTATTAGGCCTAATTGGATAAATGGTCCCCGTGGTCATAAGGTATTCGGATGATAGCCCATGTGGTAAAAAAATTCGGATTTAAACCCCTGTGGTCTAAGTCTATTAGGATTTATGCCCTTCTGTTAAATAATGCTGACGTGGCTGTCATATATATGCCACGTGGCTGCCAAATGTCTGCCACGTGGCAAAAATAATAATTTTTAATTTTTTTTTAAAAAAACCTGAATTTTTACCAAAAAAAAAAAACCCAGATCTGCAAGAAGAAGAAGGAAGAGGGAGAGGGAGGAGGGCGCGAGGAGAGGGCTCCGGCGAGGGGGGAGCTGGTCTCCGGCGGGAAGAATAAGAAGAAGGAAGAGGGAGAGGGAGGAGTCGCGCGGGGAGACCAGCGGGAAGAAGAAGAAGAAGGAAGAAGGAGAGGGAGGAGGGTCGCGCGGGGAGAGGGCTCCGTCCGGGGGGGGGAGCTGGTCTCCGGCGAGAAGAAGTAGAAGAAGAAGAAGGAGAAGAAGTCCGGCGGGGTGGGGGAACGGGCGGAGGGTGGGGGGGGGAGTTTCTGGGTTTCTGGGTTTTTTTTTTTTTTTTTTTTTTTTTGTAAAAATTCAGGTTTTTTTTTTTAAAATTAAAATTTATTATTTTTGCCACGTGGCAGACATTTGGCAGCCACATGGCATATATGTGGCAGCCACGTCAGCATTATTTAACCGAAGGGCATAAATCCTAACAGACTTAGACCACAGGGGTTTAAATCCAAATTTTTTACCACAGGGGTTATCATCCGAATACCTTATGACCACATGACCATTTATCCGATTAGGTCATTGTATTATGATACTTAGTGTATCGGGTCGTATGTTTGGCATATTGAAAAATCTCTCATGGATATGGTATGGATGGGGATGATCATGTAACAACTCGTCCCGGAGTTTTTTGAAACAAAAGGGCATTTTTGTAATTTCAGGAAAAATGGGATATTTTGAAATATGTTTACTTTTGGGTCTTGTTTGGTGTGCCCAATGGGCCCACCTTCGGTTTTTTGTTCCCCGGCCCAAAGCAACTCAGCTTTCTTTCTCTTTCTTTCTCTCCCTCACTTTTCTCTTTTTCTCTCATCTCCCCCGAAACTCTCTCTCTATGTGTGCTCTCCCCTCTGGCAACCCACACCCACCCACAACACGACGACGACGACACCATCAACCCCCCAACGAGCCTCTCGACCTCCTGATGTGGGAAGGAAACCAAACCCAGGTTCTTGGCGTGAGCCATGGGTTTCAGACAACATTCTTGGCTAACTCCGACCACCACTTGGGAAACAAAAGGTATATTCATAAACTACTCTTGGTGGTCTTCAATTTGGTGGGTAGATCGTAGGTTAGGGTGGAGAATCGGAGTTGAACAGAGCTTGAGAAGCTCTAGCATCCTTTTCCGTTGAAACCAGTCTGAAACTGGGTCAACTCGGGTTGACCTGGAAACCCAAAACCCGAGACCCTCTAGGGCAAGCTCAGACCCATTGAACCCAGGCCTTTAGGCCTTGCAAACCTGGGCTTTCGACCCATTAAACCCAGCCCAAGTCTAATAGCCCTAAAGTCTAAACCCAAGGCATCCAACCCTATATAAACTCGAACCTAGGCCCAGGCCTAAGCCCAACCTTGCAGCCCAGACCCATTAAACCCTTAGACCAACCTATGTGGAACCAACCCAGATCCCAAGCTGTGCGTGGGCCTGCGCGTAGGCGTGTGTAGGTGTCTGCCTTGGCCAGCGCGTGGTGCACGCACCTCCACCAGAGGTACTGTGCTCCGACGCCAGCGACTTTTTCAGCGACCCAAAATGGGGCGTAGGTGGCCACCTGAGGTCCCTCTTATGTTTATCGACATCCTAAATCCGTTTATAATGTCCGTTTCCCGAAATTCAATCGTTATGATAGAGTTTTATTAATTGGTACCTTTATGTGCTTAGTTGCAATTGTTTGTGGCATTTTCATGTTCGCTAGTTTGCATGGCTCTTCGACGACGGAGTATCTGTGAGTGGACCCCTTAAAAAATGCATATTTTACTATTAGAAATGCATACATGAAAAGCATGATTTAATGGTTACGTTTTATGAAACGTTTATGAATAAATTGGTTTCACATTTTATGAATTATCATGCTTATCGACTTTACGTTCTTCGTAGTATGTATAATTGATGACTATATAGTATGAACATGATTTAAGATATGATGTTTGAGATACTGAGCTCTGTTGAGATATATTTACTTATATTTTGGAAAGATTATGTTCAATGATTTTTGTGTTTATCTAGTGGTTACTACATGCCTACGGGCAAATGATACTTTTATATATGCCTTCGGGTGGGTGTTGTAGGAACTTACTGGCGATTGATACTTACATATGCCTTCGGGTGGATGATGTAGGAGCCTACGGGCAATTGATACTTATATATGCCTTCAGGTGGGTGCTGTAGGAGCCTACGGGCGAATGAAGTGTTCTAAATGAAGAGTTATGAATGAAGAGTTCTATATGCCTTCAGGCGATACTGATACCACTATTTAGCACACTATATATGATATATCTTTTATTGAAGGTTTCACGGCATGCGAGGGGTTTCAAAAAACCTATTACATATTATACTATTGAGTTTTCATAAACTTTGGGGGTTAGTACGTTGTTGAATAACTGTTCAGTACTACTTATATATATATCAACTTGGTCCACTCATGTTTTGTTTTGAGCCCCCTCAAGACTTGGAATTCGAGGCGTACAATCCTGACATCAAGGCACTCCCGCATCGGCATCTTCGAGTCCTCTCAGTGTGGGACCCATTCCTTTGCTCATTCAATTTTATATTGTTCCTTTCTAGTGTCTCGGTTTAGTTGTATATTCTGAACACGTTCCTCGATTGCTTCTCATGCATGTTAGTATGGCTTCGTCACCTTCGGGTGTCGATTAGCACGTGTCTACCCTGGTGTTTTGAGGATATCAGGATTAGGTGTGTCAGATCATAAGTCCACTACCACTAGTGAATTTTGGGATAAGCATGGGCAATCCAATAGCCAAATTTCATATCCAAAGATCCCTAAAGCCACTCCACATCAAGTGGAAGTGTCCTTTGGGATTTCTAGCGGAACATTAGGTAGATATGCCTTGCACCACAAAAAAGTGCAAACCAATTTGATTTTGGAATTTCTATTGGTTTCCTCTCTTTTCTCAACTTTAAACAAGAAAGAATTGCCCGTCCACTCCTCCTTTTCCCTTTGCAGGACGTCCGCCCTTTCTTAATGGACGGATTGTATAGCTATAATGTTGATATTTGTATCCCTTATATCAATAAAGTATGTTATCGATGTTTTACTAACATCATATCAACAATTCAATTCTGTCAAAAGAACCATATATTCTGTTTAGAGAATAACTGTCTCGTGTCTCGTCGAAATAATTTCCAAACCATGCACAGAAAAAATACCAAACAAAACTGCCGGACCTTTTTCTATGGGTTGCTACAAAACATTACAGCACAAATTGCAGAAAAAGTTTGAATCCCAAAAGAATTACATTAATAAGAATAAAGAAGGAACCACAAACAATAACATGGCTTTTCAAAAACGTTGTTTATGCATTATTCAGAGATGTGTGCCTGCAGTCTAGCACTTAACTGGCAACCGGTTTTAGGTTTTCCTTAATTTGCACTGCACAGTCTATAAAACTATGTTACACGAAACAAAGAAGGTCATGGACCGCGAGGTGTGCCGAAACAGAAACAGCCGGTGGACTGGTTTTCAAGTATCATGCCGCCTCCCTTGCTCGTATCTATTGCATCCAACAGCTTCACTACCTCTTCCATTTCAGGGCGTTTATCCGGGCTTGCAACCCTACATTTCCGCATGGCGCTGGCCAATATGCTCGGGCAACATCTTGGAATCTCTGGTCGTAAATTCTGCCATCATAGCATAAAGTATATAAGACAGAACATGAAGAAATAGTATACGTTACAAGTTACGACAAACATTTGGTGATCGACATAACTTAAAAACCAATGACAGACAAAAAACTTGACGAATTATGTGCAACGACAAACCCACCTGTCGCACTACTGCAGATGAGACATCGGCAAAACTTAGATTAGGATAAGGCATGTCGCAGCAATAGATTTCCCATAAGCAAATACCAAAACTATAGACGTCGCATTTCCTGTTGTATGGCTTGCCATCAAGGAGCTACAGAACCTTTCATGTTAAATTCTGATCCAGTTTGCAGGAAAGGGAAAGATGGAGAATCGAAAAAGAGTGCTTCAAATCTTTATAGAACTAGATTTTGGAAACAATGAATTAAAACAATTATACCTCTGGTGCCATGTACCCAAGGGTACTAGTCTCTCCAGTCATGTCCATCGGGTTCTGAGCTTCTACTCGAGCAACGCCAAAATCAGCAATTTTTAATGTTGTACGAGTATCTAGCATCATATTTTCTGTTTTCACGTCACGGTGTACAATTTTCTTCGAGTGAAGATAGCTCAAACTGAGAAAATGGAACACAGAACCAAATCCTTTAGTTTAAAACCCAACAAC